AGCTACACTGTTAAACGATTTGGTAAATTTACATAATCGATGGATATAAGAATTTATAATTAACAAGGCCACGTAATTTTACAAAAATTATCTGGATTTATCTCTTATTGCAAATATATATTTTTTTATTTGATATGAATTTTATTTGCAAGTCGTAAATTAGCATACGTACGAAAATATTTATATATCTATAATAATTGGTCCCGTAATTATTGTTATAATTATACTATAATAGATGTAATTTTGTTTGAAGTGCAGCTCTGTTGTTTTTTGTGGATATTTTATGCATCGCGTTGTTTGATTTGCAAAGTTTCGAATTTATGTAAAAATTAATAAATATATTTTTAATATCAAAAAGTTATTTATGTTTCCCCGAAAGTTGATTTAATGAAAGCATCATGCGATTTATATTATATATATGCGGTGATAAAATGTGAAAAAAATATTTCACATGTTATAAAAATATACAAATATGTTTTTTTTTTTCCAACTAGAAAGCATTTTTGGTCAACAGTTAAAATATTTTGCGATATATATTTTCTTAGAATTAATCCAGTTACTAAAAATATTTCAAACGCGTAAATTTTGTATGCGCCGGGTTAAGCGAATCGAGGGGCCGAGTCACTTAAAAGAAAGTGGGACGAACGACGGGGCAGGTATGCAATTTTTATAACTCCGGTTCTCGCGAGTAAATCCTGTCGATCCGGGACATATACAAGGGTGGAGAAACGTGTACCAGCGGGGTGGAAAGCGGGTCGACGGGGTCGTGCGCGGCGCAGTCCTCGTCCGGTCTCCTTTCAGCGTTATTTACACACATGGCACATTAACGGAGAAGTATGGCGAGAAGAAAGAGCCCACGTGGCCCGGAGCGAAATAAATTTGCGACTTTGCACTTACGGCAACGGCGCATGCGGTACATTGCACAGGCGAAATAAGTAGGAGCGTTATTCACAAAGAGAGATACGCAATTGTTAAAATTGCTACTTTATATATTGAAAGAACGAAAATAGCCTTCCGTAGAACGCTACACAGTACTTTCATGTTGAACTCAAATCCTATCGGCTATATTAAAGTCGTTAATCAGTAAAATGTTCCGCAGTCCCTTCTGCGTTCCAACAAGTTAGAAATAATGACTTATTTTCCGAGATATATGGTTTCCGAGCGAAGATTAATGATTCTATAATGAGGAGAATCGCCGCGGCTATATTTGCCGCCGAACAAATTTCTCTATAATTAGACACGCGCCACTTTTGCAATCGGGTCAGTTCGGAGTTAGCGATGCGCGCATTTTAACTGCATTATTACAGCTTGTAATAAACTCCGTGACACATTAATTATTTTCGAATGCCATAAACTGAAAATTATTAAAGCGCATTAACGTGCAAATTACATGGAATTGTATGCATTTACAATCGCGTTACAGTGAGCGAAAGTCTTGTGTGTGTGTCCCGTTAATTTCTTCCTTTATACTATAAAAACGAAAATAATGCAGCGAAACATCTAATTACACACATATACATATTTATTTCACCTAACGTTGGCACCGAATCTAGGCGTGCATACATTTCCCTTCCGATATTATTAGCATTTGAAAGGGCACGGTAAAAGTTCGCGGAATAAAACTTAAATGTCGCTTTTATCATTTATCTCACGTCTCGTGCTGACTTTCCAGTTGTAATGTAAAACGCAAGAAGGATTCGTGCAAAGCCTTTCACGGCGATTAATGTCTCTATTGTGTTTAGCGACTCCGCCGGTTCGCCTTGAATTTAACCGCAATTATATATATGCGCTTTATATAAAAATTTCTTTTCAAATTATCTCACTAAATTCTTGCCGCTTAAAAGCCAGAATTGAAATTTTCCAAAGTAACAAGAGACACGCCGTTGCAACGTCGTTATAACGCGGCGGCTGTCAAACGCGAGAGACGATCAAGAGGTGCAAGATGTCTCGGACAAATACGCTTTATCGAATCGACAGTTGTCGAATCGGTTATTAGAGAGGCGTCGCGGCCACACACGTGGGCACCTGTACGCGTCAAATGGTCCGAATTGATCTTAACGTCTCTCCGGGCGCGCGCTGAGGGCGCGAGCCTTAGCATTCCGATAATTGCACGTCGCGTGCGTGGGTACATGGTTAAACCTCGCGCACACAGCCCGTCACTCGATAGGACGTTGCCTCGACGTTGGCGAGAAGCAATCCGGCCGCTGGACGCGAAGTCCTGTTGATTCGGTCGCAATTAAACCGCAATTGGGACGCCGAAACACGAACGCATGAGCGATGTCAACGTGATGAAATCGGTAATCCGAGATAGCGGATATTTTTACATTTTTTTCTAATTAAAATTTATAATTAGATTTATCGCAGAGATAAATTTAATTTAATTCTGATTAATCAATTGACCTTTTGACAAATCAACAGTACTTATAGAATAATATTTTAACAAATATCGTAATTTTTCACGAGAATTATTTATATTTTTAAAACTTGGCAAAAATCATGGAGAAAAAAATTTGAATGGTGAATTTTAAACGGTTGTGTGTGTGTTATGTGAAAAATATTTAGAAAAATAAAATAACATTGTAAAGTAAAGTGAAAACAATCAAAAATAGAGCTATATTTTTCAGTTATATTATTCTGTGTGTGCGACGCCGTCCAAATAAAACAATATAAAATATCTATTTAGAAAATTAAAGTAAAAATTTAATAATATATTACATTAAAACTATTCAAGCTAATTAATAACTTAAATTTCAGAAGCAGCCTCATAAAGAAAGGTGGAGAAATGCACGAGAAGTGTAATTGCCGTTCTATAATTATACTTTTCACGTAGTCCTTCAATTCATATTCATGCTATCACATCGATTTATCCATCTGTGTCCTCTAGCACGTGTTCGACCGGAATCATGAATAGCAACTATAATTAAACGAACAATGCCGGCGTCATTCGGCGTCCTTTGCAGACTCGAAAGTGGTGACCAGAATTACATTCATGTTAGGAAACACTTGGCAACGCGCGTTCGATCATTACTGTTTTAAGTGCCGATTATTTATAACCCCGACTAGCCTTGTCGCTTCGACCCGGCCGGTGCAGAGGTCGTCGTAAATCTCGGCTAACCCTCTTAGAGAAAACAGACGAGATTCGTCAAGATACGCGATATATGGCGGAGTCGTGACGAAGATGACGAAGATAAGTTGCGTCGTCGACAAATTTCTAAGGACTTGATTATTCATCTTATTGTCGTTATTGATGCTCTGTTTTTTCTAAGACGCTCGTTTTTTGACAGCATCTTCTATTTTTCAATTTTTCGTATATAAATGTCACGAGTTTATAGAAACTCTACTTACACATCGCGTGTTAATACAAATAAAAAAAATTATAATAAACAATTTAGTTTCTTCACTTTAACGCAGTTAGTTATTAAAAAAAAAAAAAAAATAGATCGCGTTTTGAAACCGATGTAATTTTACAAATAGGTCCCGCACGAGTTTAAGATCTTTGTGAAGCTTTCAGGTATTAACCGATCCAGAGACATCTGCTAGACTGAAGGACTTTCAGAGTGTAATCAGCGAAGAGCCTATTTGAGCAGTTACGTAATACCACATATTTGCAATGTGTTCTCTTCGCAGCTGGTGGTCCGTCAGGTAATCCGGATTAAGCCGCAATTTAAATCGGCCCGTACGACCGGACCGGAGGTTAGATTTAGTTTAAAATGCCCTGGTATTACGTGTCCCGTTCGTAATGGACGTGCAGCGCGAAATACAAGCAATCTAGCAGAACAATAATATTTCGCACGAGACATTAAAGGATTAGTCTTACAGCTGTTAAAAAATTAGTGTAAACTGTAAGTTACAAATTAATAAAGTAATGCAAACAGCAAATGAGCAAACATAAATTTAATTACTCCACTTAGAACCTTTTTTACTAAATTTATTTAATTTGAAATTATTATTTTTCTCACGTTATGAAAAATAGCTCGCTTTTTCTGTTCTTTATGCCAAAAATGTTCTCTGCAGATATTCACACACGTTTTGCCGATATCTTTTCAGATTTTTGAATTTTTAAAGTATTTAAATCAAATATTTTTAAGAGAAAAATAATGTAGAATATTTGTACAATCGTGTAAAGTAGTTTTTCCATCTACGCCGAGCAAATTTCACACCACGATACAAAGCGTAAAAGAGAATCGCGGCGTTTAGAGCGCCATGCATTTCTCCCCGTCTTATTTTGCAATAAGAGAAGACTCTTGCATCTTTACGCCGCCGCGTTCCGGTAGCGCGGAATGCAATGAACGCAGAAAATGTATATTTCCCGTGCAATATTCCGGGAAAATACGCTCGACGTTTGCACAGCACAGATCGTATGTGATAGAAATGATATATGGACTGTATTTTTTTTATTATTTCATACGATGGACCGCCTGCACCTGTACGAGGCAATACGCGCGATCGGCCATTTCACGAGTCGCTTTCGAAATCGTGTGGCTGTATTTTTCTATCGTGTGTTTCTGCTGCGTTTCGTAAAACTTCAATTTCACGCATCAAATACCCGCGGGCATAATTCATATCGGGTACAATATAATCTGACTATAATCTAAGGGAATTGAGAAAAAAGAAATTGTCTCGATTTCGCTTATCTGGCTTGGGCACAAAATGTTTCATGCTGTGCAATTTAAAGATAATTAAGGAAAGAAATACTATAAAAAATTCTTATACCTTGAAAAATTGTATAAAAAAATTACATAATCAGTACAAGAATGATAATTAGATAAGAATAATTTTAGTATCTAATCAAATTGTATTCGCTCAAATTTATGGCTCTTCTTTAATACTTTTACGAAATATACAACTCGGTAATCCGACGCGAAGCGCCCTATATACAATGTTCGAGCCCTAATGGATCCCTGTCGCAGCTTGAGGCGCTTAATACTTAAGCGCCTCGGAAAATCTCGGAGGGGCGAAAGTTGCGAAGGAATAAAAGTGATAAGAAAGTTTCGACATACCGTTCGGCACCGTCGGAGGTTTTTTTGTCTGTACCCTCGCTGTTGCGTTGTTCACCTGTCAAGTTAAGAAGAATCATTAGAACAACTGAAACTTTCTTCCGACACGCGGAAGATTTCCATCTTCTAACATCACTCCAACTCCAGGATCCGCGCGTGGCCATTGAAGATCACGTGTCTTTAAGCGTCATTCAGTCATAATTACCGACCGTGAAACGTAAAAAAGAAATTTAGAAAGTTATGATCAATCGACGATTAATCGAATTCAAGAAGTCTGAAGGTAATTTTCCACTTTTCGAGATAATTTTTCACACTGAAATAATTATATTGCAGAAATAATTTCGATTAAAACTTTGGCAACGTGAACGTGTCGTAATAACTAGTCTTTATAATAAATATCAGAAACTAATAACGGAACAAATTCTAGCCGCAGTTGTAATTGCGAATGGAAATTTCTGAATCGAATAAAATGTGAGAAACTTTGACAATTTTACGGGCCGCGCGCGGATCCTGTAATCAAATATGCGTTGCTCGATGCAGAATCGGATTTGCGGAGGGCGTAATTTGTGTTTGCGGCTCTTTGTTCGTCGTAAAATCATTTTCAAACGCGATAATCATAAATACACCTGCATCGAACAAACGAATTACGAGCAATATTTAATGAACAATTAAAAATTGTATGCGACTGCACGTTATTACCGTCTGATCGCTTTCTATTTCAATACAATCCATTTTTATCAATATAAAGTTCAGCGTATAGATTGTGATTATTGTTTAACAATTTATTGGTTACACAAATTGCATGTTTTGTGTTGGCGCGCATACCAATAAACGTTGTGAACGTGCAAACGCTGCAAGATTTCACTTGAATTCAGATCTTTTTCTGCCGTTATCACTTGGCTTTTGATACGTAAATTTGCAGCCGAGTTGGTCACTTTATCAATTTCGAAAAATTAAAAAACTTGCACTTTTTTTGTGAAAACATCATATCCAATATTGTGTCAAATTCACGTATCAATTGATGTTGTTCTAAAATGCGTCCAAATTCAAGGAATGTTATCTTAATATTAACAAACATATAACAAAAAATAAAAATCTCTTTTTTAAGCCAAAAAAGATTTTTTGTTTCTTTGCAGTTTCTCGCTTCCGAGATGAGCCAAAACATCCTTCAATTTTCAAGATAAATCTTCAAAGATTGGAAACAAAACTTAATATAAATGTAATCAAATCATACAAATAAATTGAAATATTATTTTTTTTAAATAGATTGAAGTTTATCACATTCTATATAAAATAAAAAATTGCAAAATGATCTATTTTTTTTAACATTATCGTCATCCCAGAAGTCAGAAGCTGCAAAGGATTTCGCGCGATCGACGAATTTAACGCCTCGATGATACAACGATCGACGATTCATTATTCAATAATGTCTGCATTATTCAACTTGCGTTTATTTATCGCTTTCTAACAAGCGTCACAATGTCGTGCGTCATTGGCGTGTCGATCTCTGAGCTAAATATCGACAATAAAACGATTTTAGCCATACCGCACGCCGTAGCTAATACGACAAGCGCTTACACAATACGCGCTTAAACAACGCGCGGACAATCCTCGCGTTTAATCTCGTCGATCCGCAAAGAGAGCTTTTACATGCGCGTCAATTGTCGAGAGGCGTCGAGAGGGGGGAGGGGGGGTGGAGGAGAGCGCGACAACGCGGTTAAATAAAAGTCAACCTCCGACATGTCGGAGGGCGCAACTAATTTATTTTATTACGTGCTTTAAGGATATCAGTTACGCGAGACAGTTTAATGAAAGCGGCAAAAAGGAATAAATCGATAAAAACAAAAAGAGAGAAAAAAAATACAAGGAAAGAAAGAAACCGATTGCTCTGTCGAGTCTGTCGGGCTCCTCCGTCTCCCCTCCCGCCTCTTCTTCACGACCGAGAAAACAATGGCAAGCCTTCCCGTCGATTTCCGATTATTTCAATTTCGCTCAAGTACCTTCGCGTCTGGCGAAAAAAGAGAGGCACAAGTTTTCCGGGTGAATCCGCGACTTCTTTCGTTCTTTATCGGTTCTTACCATGGGACTCTTTCCCTCTCCCTCTCTCTTCTGCTTCGGCTTTTTGTTCCTACCTACCTTTACCTATCTACGACCGACCTGCCGCCCGCCTTCTCGTTTTCCTGCCCCACTTTGCGTCCACTTCAAACAGGATAGAGAAGGCTTTCGTCGAGACACAAAGGGTCCCCGATATCGTGACTGCACCCGCGTCTATGTTTCTATGTTTGCAGCGCGGCACGAAAATGCACGCCGATTCAGCACAAATGTCTCTCATTCACCGGAAATAGTTGACATTGCGTCTCGTTTTCTTTCAATTTCATAGCAATACATCTTATTTCTTCTAATAGGTTTTTTATCGGAGGCAATTATACGGATTTGTGCAATTCGTAAAAAATAATTATTATAAAAGTTTGAAAATTCTAACAACACCGAAATATTACTCGCGTACAGAGCTTGCAAGAACAACGTGGCTTCGAATTCACGAGAGCAAAAACTCTAATCAAACTAATTAACATCACGTATATTATTCGCAATTATTTTCGCATTAATTATTTAGACGAGATATGCGTTAATTAGTTTAGTTGTCAGATAGCTTTGAGTATAATGTCGCGTACCGAGAGATTTTCCGGAAGCGTCAGAAAACGCAACATTCCCACCGGTAGTAATCGCGGCTGCGGTGAGTAAAAAATTGATGTTTCTCGCTTTCGAATTCGCGGCGGCTAAAACGGATCTTGAGCAACGTCCGTGTATCGGCGGCTCTCACGAGGATTGCGAATTACGAGGCTTATACCCCGCGCCAATCACGTCGGTCGCGACGCACCGTTGAGCAATTTGCATTTTACGATCTTGTTTCCAGCAACGAGGGTTTGTTGCTGACCGCTATATATCTCGACGTCGGAGCGGAGTTAAAACGAACGTTGTTGCGAGATGAAGACTGACGAGCGAAACTCGCCGGGGGTGAAAATACAAAGATTTTCTCGTAATATCTCCATTATTTGGAATACAAACACTCAGAGTAGATAACATTAAACATCGCAGAAATTTCATGTTCTTAATTTCTCTTCCCATTTTAATCTACCACAGCCACAACAAAGATTTATTACATTTTACGTAATGCAATAATTCTTGCAATAAAATATTGAATCCTTGTTAATGCTTGATGTTGGAAAATTGCGACGTATTTGCGTTTTTTTTTAAGTATTTACCTCATACATAATTTTTTCTCTAAAATATCTAAAATATAAAAAAAAAATACTATATCGCGCAACTCTTAACAATCATTCTGACCTAAAAAAATCGCCTGAAAAATATATACCTCCATATTCTCTAGATAGAATTTTTCGAAAAATCGCGTTTTGTGTCCACTGTACGTATCACTGGACGTGATGCTGCGGGATGCAATGTTGCAAAAACTATGGACGGGTGCATTTTAACGAACAAACAAACCCGAGCGAAGCGCGAACCGACGGATACGCCGGAACCGCGCAAATCGATCCCCGCCGATAATAAACAAGCGTGTCCGTGCGTGAGCCACCTTGTTCTAACAAACAATTGCGGCACGCTGGCGAAATTTTTGTTTGCCGTGCCGCGCGCGCATTCCGACAATCAGTGTGCTGCATTTAGTTGCATTCAGCCGACGGAAAGCATCGCGTACGATGTACAGCGCGGATCTCGCGATTGTTTTGCAAATTATAACACCGCAGTTATTAATGACACCGACGGGCGATTTCAATTTCGCAATCGAACGCTGTCGCTCGTTTTCCTACGTAAACAGAGGGAAGTGTATACGTTTCGATAAAGCAGCTACGATATTGTTTGACCTGAAATTATACGAATGGCGATAATAACGCGAGATGGTATAATAATAATCGCGATCTAATTAATTTTATAATCTTTCCCGACGTAGTTATTTCTGACAAGACTTTTATACGCGAATATAAACAATGAGGTTCGAAATTCAGCGTAAAGTGGGTCATCATTATTTCCGAGCTGCTAATTTCAGCTTGAACTGGATAGATCGAAATAAAAATTGTATGAGTATATATATAACGCGCATCAAATCCTCAAATTCAGCGATGAAGTTAAAAACCAAGATCGGGATAAAAGATAAAGGAAGATTGATATCTCAAAATGTCACGTTCTTGTCCTTGATGCATCTCATTTATTTGCGCAAAGAAGGCTCTAAAGAGACAGTCACGATCTTACGTGACTTTATTAATTCGGCAAGAAAAAAATTATGGATGCAAGCTACTGAATAATATGCAAACGACAGGATTGCGACAAAAAAAAAAGAAAGAAACGCTTCGACGGCCTTGTTATAGGCGATTATCTATACGTAAAGTGCTGCCTAAAATTATACCTGAATCAATATCATAAGCTTCTCCCCGAAATACTCTGGTTATCGTGTACCTACTTAGTTCCATGCTTGCATTATATGCAAATTTTATGATACGTTAAAACATTAAAACTAAGATAAAATTATTTAAAGATTAAAATTCAATAATAATAATCACGTATTGTGAATTTATGCAATGCGAGTGAAATATTTGGGTCGCTTTTTAAAAGTTCAGTAATGCGATTAATGCGATAAAAATCTAAAAAATCTATACACCATTCTTTTGAAAACATTTTCATATTTAAATAATGAAATGTATAAAATTGAGAAAGATTTCTTTTTTAATTTATATTTATATTTTTTGTTCGGAATTTAAATGTGAAAATAAAATGGGTATTCAGTATCAACTTTAAGATCGACGAAACGCCGCTTATTTCCATCCTACATAATTCCACGGCTGCAATCGTCTGCGAGCAGTCGACCGACAAAGGCAAAATGGCCGCATTAATCAAGGCCCGGGGGTGCAAGGGCGATCGGTATTCGAAGGATCTAACAATCGGAACGATTTCCCCGGCAACTCCCCCGGCCCGGGGAATCCACGTTTCCCGAGCACTTATCTCATTCCTGGCGGGGTCGCGGGGAAGAGAGGGAAGAGATTTGACCAG